CACAGACACAAGTGTCTTGTCTTGAGTATTTAGTATTTTGACATTAAAACCTAGTACAAACCTAATACATCCTCGATACATTCCTGTAAGTATATATATTATAAAATAATTCTAAATAGAATAGATGAAAATTAAAATACAGAAATATCAAACTTGAAAATATAAATGAATGTTTTTATTTTATGCGAGAAAAGATAACAAATATGCCTCTTCTATATTACATTTTAAAAAATGTTTAGTCCAAAGATTAAGGCATTTTTCATTAAGTAAGGCAATTTTTCTAATAAATAACTATAATTTAGTAGATAATTAACTATTTACTCACAATAACTATTTTCATGTTATATAATTAATTATTCACCAATAGTGTACATATGTTTGCATTGCTTAACCTTACCATCCACCTTCAATATGTTATAAGTTCCAAAGCACTAGAGTGGAGGTACTTGAGAGTTGTGTGAGCTTGGTGGACCTTTAGTTGGAGCTTAGTTCCGCATATTTAGTTGGAGTTGGATCATTTTTCTATAACTCTCGTTTTTTTAAGTACGAAAGTCAAAAATATGTCATATGGAACGAGTCAACTTGTTTTAGGTTTGAGTTTCAACTTGTCTCAGGTCTGAGTTTGAACCCTTTGGGTTGGGATCCAGGTCAATTTGACCTAGACCTGTAGCTACTCGAATCTAGGTTTGAGACTAAATTGGAACAAGTCAAGTCTAAGTTTTGTTCAACTCGATCAAATAGGGTGGGGTTTGTACACAGTGTCAACGCTAAACAATCAAAGTAAAAAGTACATTTAAATAATGGTAAAAAGTGTAGTTATGGTGCTGGAAATCCTTACGATGAACTAAAAATATATTACACATAATTATAAAATTTAAAGTTTCAAAAAAATGGTGTAAATTGAGCAAGGCTATAAAAACTTAACATTTTGAAAATGGATAATCTTCATAATTTGTTACAATATATTGAAAATGCAATATTTTTAGAACTTGAAAACCTATTTTTTTTAATATCCATAATCTCAAGGTTGAGATGATCAATTGTAGTATTTTTTTACCTTCGAACAACAAATATGGCGGGGTTTATATAAGGTCACAACCTTACTTGTTGAAGTAAGGTTATGAAGTTTGTAGTACTGTTGAGTTTTATTAGATAATGTAAATTTGACATGTTTTACAAGATAGTATAAAAAAGTGGTATGTTTTTTAATATAGTGTGAAATCTATGCTGTCTAAATAAAATAACCCGTATATAGTATGCGGCCTCATTTTTCCAAGTAAAGTTGTAACCCTGTATTATAAAAGAAAGAAAGTATTGAATAAGACCATTTATCTTTTATACAAGGTGGTCACAATAATCTTGACCATTAGATGTAATTTTGGGTGCCTGTAATTATTCCTTTGATCAAGCTCAAACTTCAAAAGAAATTTTCTCGAACTTTGTGACACATCCAAGCTATCAAATTTCACATCAAATGGTTGTAAGGAATTGTGACCACCTTGTATAAACGGTAAATGGCCTCATTGTATAAAATCCCTTATAAAAAAGGGAAAATTATAAAAAAAACCCCCAGTATACACTATCTATGCAACTTACCCCCATCCAAACATTTGGTTTCACTTTTTTCCCCACAACAACCATTCTTCGCAAAAACCCCCATCGTAAAATGTTGTTATTTTTTGGACGGAAATGCCTTGCCCGTACAAAAAAATCAATTGGCGCTAACTATCGATCCTAAGTAGCGTATTGCCGGAGCGCGTTCATATACTGCCGGAGCATTGAATACACTGTCGGAGCGCACTATTACACTGTCAGAGCGCTGTGGCTCCAAAGCCTCTATGGCCGGAGTGCCTTTATAGACTGTTGGAGCAAAATATCTCCAGAAGGTGGACTGCCGGAATGCGTTCATATACTGCTGGAGCACTGAACACACTGCTGGAGAGCGTTCATATACTGTCGGAGCACTGAACACACTGCCGGAGTGCCCTATTACACTGCCAGAGTGTTGTGGCTCGAGAGCATATATTGTCAGAGCGTCCTTTGGGACTACCGGAGCGCGTCGTCTCTAGAAACTGTACTGCTGGAGCACATCTTTGTATTGCTGAAGCTCATTGGGTAAATTAAAAAATGGGAAACATGAGAGAGAAAGGCATGTAAAAAAAATGGCACTTTAGTCTCTTTTTTTAGGGAAAATATTTCCTTTTCCCCTATTTTTAATTTTCATATCTGATGAGACCCAATAATTGAAAATATTATTTGTAAGTAAAATGTTTCAATATTTTATATCTTACAACCCCCTGGACCTCTGTGACCATAAATTTTTGACCCAAACAAACACTAAAATGACACCCTATTCAAACTCCATCTCTCTGTCTCTAAAACTCCATCTCTCTCTCTTCGCTTCTCGGTGAGTTTATCAGCCAAGGGGTTTAGCTTGAGCTCGAACATGAGCACACCTTCTTATGTGTGAGAGAGATATGGAGTTTTAAAGAGAAAGATGGAGTTTGGGTTGTAGAGAGAGATGGAGTTTTAGAGAGAAAGATAAAGTTTGGGTTTTAGAGAGAGATGGAGTTTGAGTTTTAGGGAGAGAGATAGAGTTTTGAGAGAGAGAGACGATGATGTGAGAAAAAGAGATGGAGTTTGGGTTTTAGAGAGAGATGGAGTTTTGAGAGAGAGACGATGATGTGAGAGAGAGATGGAGTTTTAGAGAGCGGGAGAGAGTTATTTCATAAGTTGTTGAGGTCAATAATACATGGTCGAAAGGGTTTAGGGGGTTGGAAGATAGAAAAGATGGAGTCATTTTTCTTTTAAGTAATATTTTAAATTTTTGGGTCTGATGAGATATAGAAGTTAAAAATATGAGATAGTAGGATATTTCCCTTTTTTTTTATTTCTTTTGGGTTGGGGGGTTTTATGTGAAACGAGATTATTGTGGGGAAAAAAGTGAGAAAAAAAAGTTGGATGGGATAAGTTGCATAGATAGCATATATTGGAGGATTTTTTATAATTTTCCCTATAAAAAATATACAACAAAAATTGTATCTTTTGTCAATGGGATGGGTGCATGACATAGTTGGATTAGAGCCCGAAATAGTTGGATCAGGGCCCGAAACAGACCACATCTAAGCTTTTTCACTTTGAAGGAAAAGTGTCATGCGCATCAAGGGCGCAATCCCACTTAAGCATCCCTTATACATCAAATATACATATTAAAGATGGATGCAGAAAAATGGTGGTTCTACTAAAATCAATGGCATCAAAGATACATCATAAATTTTTTTATTTTTTATATTCAAGTTCACCATGGTATTCTCAATCCCCAAAACTGTTGGATCTTAGTTAGGGGGCAAGAGTGAGAATTGGGCACCGGTCGACCCGATTGGGTTCAGATTTGGAGCCAGACAATAGATCATCTACTTGACCTTGACCCGACTAGAACCGGATCTGGGTCCAGCTTAAATCCTATCATTTGGGATCAAGTCTGATTCTGGGGCAACCCGACCCAAATATATAAGTATAGATTGGTTCAGATTTGGACCCAGACAATAGATCATCTACTTGACCTTGACCCGACTAGAACTGGATCTGGGTCCAACTTAAATCCTATCATCTGAGATCAGGTCTGATTCTGGGGCAACCCGACCCGACCCGATCCAAATTTATATGTATAGATTATATGATT